ACGCGGCTCAGCAAAGCCGATGCATATGCGCTCGGCTCGACTGAGCCGCTCGGCCACGTTCGGGAGCTATACGTGCTATAGTGAATAGCCCGTACAGCACCCCTTCAGTTCTACTGAACCGAAGGGGTGCTGGGGCAGAAGCTAGCCGAAGGATCGGCCGAAGCTACGGCTAGATCCTTCGGCAGCTAGTGAATAGACCCCAATGTTAAAATAAAACATGAAATCTGCACCACATGCCACATACCTTTTGCTTCTTTCACATTCTGACTGAAAGAACCCCAATCTGTCCATATTTTCTGGCCAATGTCTTCCCATGCCTGCTTCCTGGCCCTGCGGTTCTTATACGCATCGTCTCTCTTATCAAAGATGCAGGGCTTCTCCTGAACCAGCTGATGAAGCTCTCTGTGTCTAGGCCACAATCCATCATGCAAACGTCGTCTGAAGTATGCCTGAAGTCACCCTGGAAGTGTGCCTGGGTGTGGCCTATGCCTGTTTGCATGTGGGGGACGCGTGTTGATCCGCGCATATCGTGAACATGAAACCGCGCAAACGCTTTTATAAGGGTGTTTGCATTGAGATCTATGGAAAAATAAGCGCCGAAATCCGCCCCAAAGAAGCTCCTGTACTTCTTTGGGCGTAGGGTGGTTTCCCGCGCCTTCGTATTCGTGGAAAAACGCCCAGATGGGAACCATGCACATTGAAAATAATGGCATTTCCCTGTTTGAGCGATTTTCCACGAGTACGAACGCGCGGAAAAACGCCCAGGTGGGAACCGGGCCTAAGCAGTAGTGCTTTATAGGAAAGGTGTTCTGATTAGCAGCTATCAGAGGAGGTGTGGTGACAGGTGAGCATTCACACATCTCCTCTGAAACAAATCTGCAGTTTAAACTTGGCGCTGATGCAGAACGCCCTCACATTGGAGGCGTGACCGCATGACACAGAGAAGACACTGCACTTTGCGTCTGCTGTATTGGATAGGTTTGTGGATAGGGAGACTGGCACTGGTAGCTTTGGAGACTGTGGAGGAAAAGGAGGTTGGAGGACAGGCACATGCGACTCTGGATGCTGCAAAGGGAGAAGTATAAGCAGCATTACAAATGGATTACAATATAAACTGTAAATCACACAAGTAAAATGCTTTTTTTTTGTTTTGTGCACACATAGAAAATTGTCACTATTTTATTCCTAGTTAAATTATGCATAAATATCTTTAGCTGGATTTCACATTGGCATGTCTTGTAGAAATAGACAAAAGTTTATTTTTGCACTGAACAGAGTCAGTAGTTCTACAATGTTCTACCGGGAAAGTAACCCAATTCTTTTTTGTTGTTTGTTTCTTGCTAACATTTTCTAAATTCCATACGATGACTCTTTTAAATGGCATTATTTGTTCATGAACAAATCAAGAGTTTAAAATACAAATGTAAAATTCTTCTTTTTTTAAGCTCCAAGTGACAAAAGAAAAAATCCAGCAAAAGATTTGTGTCCTACATTATTTGTTACTGCTACTATTTAAAGCCAATCTTCATCTTATATATTTTTTAAATGTATGCCTTGCAGGTACTTTAAAAATAAAAAAAAGGCTTCTAAGCACTACTTACCTTCCACTGGTCCTGTATTGATAAGGGGCTGAGAACTCCTCCCCAAAAAGAGCCTTGCCGTAGAAGATCTACCTGTCCAATCTAAAAAAATCACAAAGAAGTGTAATTGCCAGGAGGCCCTACTGGTGTGATCTCTAGGTCTGCTGTGTATCCACATGTAGAAAGGAGCTGGAGTAGAACAGAGAGCAGCAAACAGTGCAGAAGGCAGCTAAATCATTCTCTCCAACCACAAGGAGTGTTCTGGCATGAGCCATACCCACTTCCTAGAAAGGTGTCCAGGAAACAGCACAGTTAAAGGACAGAAAGGAAAAACTAGTCCTAAAATGGTGCTCTAAAATGGAGTTGGGCAGGTGCAAAATTCCATACTGGCAGAGTGAAAGTTACTGTTGCTGCCATGTGTAGATAGCTTTTTTGTAAGGAACTGTGTCAAAGTCCAAGTAACCTACAGCCATAGCTACATGACCCTTTGAATACCTTTTTTTCATAAGAAAAACATCTAATTGACTTCATCAGGAATCAGGAAGCTAGCTATCTTCCTGATGAAGTCAATTAGACGTAACACGTAGAAGCAGAGTCAGTGACGTCAGAACGCCTGCAGAGAAAGAGGAGGACAGATCTGACATCCGGGAATGTGATTCTGATACGTGATTTGCTTTGTTTTTATGTGAGTGAAATTTTTTAAAAAAAATAATTTTAATGTATAATGGGTGCGCTATGATTTCCACTTCTGTCTTTGAGAGGTTTTTTTTTTTAGATGAAGTTGGGCTGTCAGTAGAGGAGAAAAACGTTAAGATCAGGATTGGTCTCATCTGAAGGAAGGATCACAGCTTCAAATAGTGTGAGGAAGGAGTTTTACCCTACAAGAAGCGCTTTTAATCAGAGCACTGGTGTTTTTTATGAGCACTTCAGCAAAAAATACCCAAGAAATTACAAGAGTGGGCAGAGTGACGCACAAAGAAAGACTAAGACAACACTTTTTTTTTAGAAAGGTGCCTGCGTTTTGAGTTAATTCATGAACACTTTGTTTCAATTATGTGTTTTACACACCGGCACAGTACGTTTGCCACTTTGTTAGTCATTTTGAGTTTTTTTAGATAATCGCCTTTTGATTTACAAAAACAGTTGATAAGACGATTTAATTTTGAAAAATATCTGAAAAATATAATATATATTTTTTATTTTAATTTTACAATAGTAATGTTCACTATAATATTTGGTTTTCGCACATATTATTTGTTTACTTGTTGGGTGATTGCGCCACTTTACATATTTGAATGATATGATAACATGTGCTGTGCTAATTTATATCACTTTTTAAGTGGTATAAATTTTAAAGTGGAAATTTTTCAAGGGGCAAAAATTTCCAACAAGTGGGAGTAGAGACTTCTTATAGTTACAGAAGGCCATTTTGTTCAAATGCAGAAGGAAATATACAAGGTCATTAGGAGGGGAAATCCCAGTGATCATGAAAATAAGACTCTGGACCCTCTGCCAGTAGGAATACAGCTTAGGGCAGGACCAAAAGAGGCAAAGTAGCATACCATCTGCGGAAGAGCACCACTAGCAAGAAGGGATTGAACCTGGAAAAATTCTGTGCAAAAGGACAGGGCTAAGGTACTGCTGGGATAATAATTTAAAACTGGATCCCTTGATATTCCACACATAATCCCAATGTAGAAAAATAATTACACCCATATTCTTATCAGAAACAGATTAAATATGTTGCTTGGAATGTTTAACCATGATGTTCTACCCATAATCCCAATGTAGAAAAATATTGATACCCATATTCTTATTAGAAGATTTTTAAATATGTTCCTTGGTATGTGTAGCCATGATATTCCACCCATAATCCCCCTGTAGAAAATAATTATACCCATATTCTTATCAACAATGTGTTAAATATGTATGACATGTGTAACCATGATATTGCACCCATTATCCCCGTGTAGAAAATAATTATGCCCATATTTTTATCAGAAACTGTTTAAATATGTTGCTTGGCACATATTCCACCCATAATCCCCATGTAGAAAATCATTATAACCATACTCTTATCAGAAATGGGTTAAATATGTTCCTATATGTTCATTGACATGTGTAACCATACTATTCCACCCATAATCCCCATATAGATAAATAATTGTAACCATATTTCAGTCAGAAACAGATCAAATGTGTTCCTTGGGATGTGTAACCATGATATTTCATCCATAATCCCCATGTGTAAAAATAATTCTACCCATATTTCAGTCAGAAACAGATTAAATGTGTTACTTGGGATGTGTAGCCATGATCATAATATCATAATCATGATATCCCACCCATAATCCCCATCAGGCCCGGATTTCCCACAAGGCCGCCGAGGCCCCGCCTTGGGGCGGCAAAGCGCAGAGGGGCGGCAGCGGTCTGGTTGATGGGGGGGGGGGGCGCGTATTGTGGAACCCGGCCTTGGGGCGGCAGGGAGAGTAAATCCGGCACTGATCCCCATACAAAAAATATTTATATAATTATCTAATCTTACAAATATATCCATTATGCAATTTCAGGAAGTGGATAGTTAAACATTTGCACCTATTTTTTGCAACTTAGTATCAAACACCCAAGAAAAGAACAACATATTTTGAGTTACATTTTAATTTACATGTAAGGGTGCAAAAAGTATACTGACACCTAGTGATTGTGCTGAACATTGCAGCCAATCACCCCATGGCCCATCATCCCAATGTGCTGTTTAGTATGTCCCTGTGAATGCATAAAATGTCAGCGCTAAAGAAATACCTGTAATAAGTAAAATACAAGCACAAAGACCTATTAGTACATGTGATGAGCCAATCTTGGTTACATAGCTTCAAGCATTTGCAGAATGAGGTGTGCTGACTCCAATTAATCTTACAAATATGCTGCCTTTGTTATTCCTTCAGTTATCAGTTTTTTTTCTTCGTGTATCCGATTTTTGACATATTGATATAAAATAGTTTTATAATTTAATATATTGTTAATGAACCAGTTTTCACTCTGGACTAAAGTGCCTGTATATTTGAAAGGTTTTGTCTTTCTACTCAACATGTCAGGAGGAGGTACTCTACTCTCGAGCTCTGGCAGCCATCCTGCATCAAGTCTACTCGTTCCATAATGCACATTTCAGACTCAGACGCAGAAACGAGCTTGGCAAACAACTGGTAAAGCAAGTCACTGTATTTGTTTATAAAGTCGATCAATAATCAAGCAGCTTATTGATAAAACGCATGCAGGTTTATTGATATTGACGATTACACACAAACACAGCGAGTTGGCTGCGAGGTGATTGCGAAACTCTTCCGTAAAAAAAAATGAGGCTTGGAACGCACAAAATCCCGGAAGTAAATTCAAGCCGCTTGCAAACTTTGGTTACCTCACATGGTATCATGGCTGATGTACCAGAAAACGCACCAGAGTGTGAGTTTGAATAAAAGTGTGGGTGTATAAGGGCTTGTGTAGATGCAGCGTACCTTCAGGTGCTTCTGAGCTACATTTCTGCTAGACTGTTGACCTGTATTGGCAGAAAAAAAAAGTTCTGACGGAAACGAAAGCCCCGGTACCCAGGCCCTTAAAACGGTGATTTATTTTACTTTAAGATGCTATTTTCTTTTGGTTACAGACTGTCCTGGCACAGCTAGTGGTGAGGCTGGGAAGAGTTCTGCATGTCAAGGATGTCCCAATCAATCTATATGTGCTTCAGGGGCAGCAGCAGGACCAGACCCAGGTAATCACCTTTGCAATACTAGATCTTTTAGTAAATATGGCCTCCCACCAGTTTTATTATTGTAGAAATATAGCATGTAAGGTTACAAAGATGCTGAGCATTTTGTAAGATATCATTCTTAAAGTACAACTCAGGCTAGGTTCACACCTAACTGTTGAAGTTGTGTTAACACTCTGCATTAACGTGTGCCGAGTTTGGGAACCCATTCAAAATTAATTGGCTGGCAACGTAGCTTTACAGCCCAGAAATCAGGCAGTGCATCGAGAAGAGGCATTGAGGTGCCATATAGAATGAACAGCACCATGATGTCGCACCAATGCAAGTAGTGAGTGGCATCGTGCTTTGCGGTAGCTAGTAATAAGTTTGCAGAAGTCCGCTTAAAACTGACTGCCACAACCTCCTCCTGACCCAATCATTTGTGGGGAGGTGTCACTGCCATCACTGATTGGGTTAGGAGGAGGGGGTGGCAGTCAGAGTTTTGAGTGGGCTTGGGCAAACTGGGTTCGCGCCAAGTACAGCCCAGGGGTGTGGACATTTTTAAAAAAACGACTTGTCCAAGGACTAAAGCGGGGGCCCGATCTACTTGTCCCTCATGAAAATCTACTTGGCCTGATACAAAAAAAGAAAAATAATGTAACCGTATTTAGCAATGCCAAGAAGAGCTTCTCGTTTGTCAGTGCCGTCAGATGACTGCGCTGACCAACGAGTACTTAAATTTTGAGAGCGAAATTCGGATTACAATGGCACAGGTACAGATAGTACACCCATACTGGCTGATAAGAGGGACCGTTCCCTGAAAGGTAAGTATAGCGCCGGGGGGGGGGGGGGATGGAGTCTGGACCAGATTTGTACGGGTAACTCAATTTTTCCAAATTACTTGGGAAAGTGAATTTACCGTTTGGGCCGGGTGCAGACTTGGGCAAGGCCGTGTACGGTTGCTTCGCGGCCTCATTGATTTTAATGGGGTTACATCCGCGTGGTAATCTCTGAATGTTTTCAATCGCGATTATGTGCGATTGCAGGGGCATTATTGCGGCGAGAAACGGCGCAATCTGCCTTGCGCGACTGGTGTGCCATTAAACAATAATGGCACTGCCAGCGTGATCGGCGGTGGTGTGCGATTCTGTGACAGCCCGGCCATCCACACGGTTTTGTGCACGATTGCCATGTGGTAACGGATCGCCCACTCCGCTCACACACACAATGCCCCTAGCATGCTTTTATTCGCATGCAGATGATAGGGATTAGTTTTAATTTTTTAGATTTTTTTTTTTGCTTTTGTAATATTTTTTTAACATTATTTATTTTTATTTTTTACTTTATCGCCTTTTTTTCTTTTTATGTATTTACATTTTTATTTTTCCAATTTTATGTTTAAATTTTTAGGTGTTATATATTTTATTTTTAACTTTTTTTTCACTTGACTTTATTGCTCTCACACAAGGGTAACAAGCCCATGTGTGATTAGCTTTTGGAGGTGACAGGTTCTCTTTATTGACCCTGCCACCTCCAACACAGGAGTTCTAGCACAGCACTGTGCTATTTCTCCTGTGACAGGAAGGCTGCATTCCTGTGTCACTACACACATGGAGCAGAGTAGAGAACCGTTCTCTGCCTTGCTCCGTGCTCTAGAACCTAATTTGCCGTGGTCACAAGAGGGGGGGGACCCCGAAGACTACGGCAAAAAGGAAGCCCACGTGCAGAGAGACAGGCAGCCGGGAGCAGTACACGGCCGCTGGAGATGGGGAGGGGGGAGGAGAAGCGTGATTCAGGTAGGTTACGAGTGATTTTTGGACGGCTGTACAGCCGTTTAAAATCACTTGTACAAGAAGGCTCCCACACTACATTTACCCGTGCTGCTTGCCCGCAGCCGGGCTAAATGTAGAAAGAAACTACTTGCCCGGCGCCCGAAACTGCCTGTACCGGGCGTCGGGCGATAGGAATTCCACACCCCTGCAGCCTCCTCTCTAGTAGTAACGCACATATTAACGTGTGTGTTCCTGCAACACAATAATGTGAAGGGTGACCTAAAGGACTGGTATGACAGTCTAAACAAGTTTAGAATTCTGTTAGTGTGTGATGTATACGCCTCATAAACAAACTTCTGTTACTTTCTTTGACTGAACCAAATCCCCCTTTGTGTCTCACATGCTCCCCCTCCCAGACACTACGGGGTTGATTTACTAACCTTATAAACACACCACGAACGTGTATACACCTCTGCAGTGTGTTCCCTCCCAGCATGATCTATGGGTGGAATCTAAACACCTTTTGTAGTGTGTACACACCCAGCAGGTGTGTTGTGCAAAGCCCTGAAGGAATTCCAAGGTGATGTTGGGTAAATTAGCTCTATGTTGTGTTGCTTGCGTTGATGAATGCAAGGAATGTAAATGCATGAGCTAACCATTTTTGTCTAAACTGTGAAGCAGCATTATATATGCATCATGTGCATGATTTTTCCATATATGGCATTAGTGGAAATATGCTTTTAGAGACTTTTTGGTTGATAAATACGTTTTGCTGTGTGAAAATCACACACACCTGGTGTGTGTTTAGGTTAGTAAATCACCCCCTACAGCTCACAGTTGGAGGGTTTCAGCAATGGAGGCAGTGCTGTAAATCCAGATTGCAATGAGCAGGGAAAGGTGTGGCACAAGGTAAAGGCTACTGAATCTTTAGTGAGTATATTGATAGCTACGCCCCCTGCAACTTTCTTTTAATTCCACTGTAGCCTTAGCAGGCACAGCCTACATGAGTGGCAGCACTTCTCTGAGCAATGCTGCATCGTTGCCATCACAGGAAGCTGCATTAGGTACATTTTCCTGGAAGGCTTCATAGGTATTTGTGGAACTTTTCAGGGGGTCTAATATTCTGTAATGGTTTAATAGCTATATTGCTTCTTTAAGTTAGTTAGTATGTGACATTTTAACATTTAAAAAAACTTTTGTTTAGTGGACATATCATTGATTTTTCAATGTTGATTAATAATGATTTTATTTTTGAAGGCTACCTTCATCTTTCATTATCTATCTTCTAGTTTTTTGTAAGCACAACACCTTGTTTAAACTGATAAAATCCAGATTGTACTAATGTCTGTGCAAAAATTTAAAAATTGCTCCAGTACTAAGGTGGTTAAGGACCACTCACGGCGCCACCAGGCGAGAAGGACATTATGTGACCAGCCTAAATACTGTAGTATTTAAGGGATTTATAAAGGGATTTTTAGAACAGATTTTGAAGGTGAGGGGCACAACAAAAGCTGGAGTTGGGCATTATCCTTTTATTGCCACCGTAAGTAGTATGGCATGGTTGTATGGTACTATATTGGCTGTAAAAATCTGCAATAGCATCCATGTGCTTGTTTTGAAATGTCGGTGGCGGCTCTGCTCTATATAGTAGAAGTGATTAGGGCAGCTGTAAAGCCACCCAGTCACTTTTTTCAGTGCTGAAATGGCTGCCATTGACAACTCTGCTACACCATTAGGATCTCGGCTGTCAGCAGATCACAACAGCTGCAGGTGTAGAATTGTTCTCAGGCAGTTTAAAAAAAAAATTGAGCAGCTCTACCCTCTTGTCTCCAATCCCGCTGCTTAAACCTCAGTGCCTGTTAACGCTTCCGCTGAAGCCTCCACTGAGCAATAGGTAAAAAAAGGCACTCGCAAGGGGAATCTGTCAATTCAGTACTTAATTTGCAAAAAGGCATAACAGCAGCACACAAACAAATGCTTACATGTTTCAGACTCCAAACTGGGCCTTAGGCCTTGTTCACACCAAATGCAGAGCAGATCCGGTCAGGTTTCTGCACACGCAGTGCAGTGGGTTGTGCCGCATTTTGGACGCGTTTTTGATGCGTTCCGGGCCGGATTTGGTAAAAAAAAATAAAAATGTTTTTTTTTTTAAAGTTTAACATGGGCTTTCAGGCACTTGCATGCATTTTTGATGCGTTCCAGAGCAGGTAAAATAGGGCTTGCCGCAGTTTTTTCACCTGCTCTGGATCTGGTCTGGATCCGCACGCTGCGATGTGAACTGGAGGTCAAAATACCATAGGAATACCCAATGTATCAAAACTGCGTCCAATACGCAGTTTTGATCCGGTCTGCACCTGCTCTGGTCTGGATCTGCTCCGCGCTTGGTGTGAACAAGGCCTTAGTTGTAGCCAACGTAGCTATGACTAAGGCCCAGTTTGGGGGCTGAAACATGTAAGTGTTTGTTTGCTGCTGTTATGCCTTTTTGCAAATAAAGTACTGGATGGACGGATCCCCTTGCAAGTGCAGTTTTTTTTATCTATAGGATTGTTCTCAGTTGCGAAGGCCTCTAGGACATGAGACAACTCGGCTGGATATTTATTGGTAATTTCAGACTACATATAATTATTTCTCCTTGTACCACTGAAGCAAAGTTAGTCAGATGTGTTTTACATTTTTTTTTTGCCATTTACAGGGTTTCTCTTATTCAAGTAGAAAAATTATAGATGACATGCAGCACTACAAAGGAGTTGATTTCTGCAACTGGAACAAACGTGTAGCTGGCGTCTATAGGTGTCAGTCAGGTTTAATTTTGTAAATAAAACAAGTAACCTTATTCAATAAAGAGTTCTTATTCTTAAAAAGGCACTAGGGTGTGGCATCAATAGGCAAGCCTGTGATGATGTAACTCCCATGCATTCATGATGGATGTGCATCATCTATGCACTAAGCTTCAGTTTACACTGCACTGTGCATAAGTGCAACAGGCAATGGCACATTTGTTTCTGGCAGTAAGAAAATACAAACTAGTAGCTTCTTAATTATGTGTTGTTGTCATTCTAGCCATAGAAGAGATTAAAGAAAAAATGTCTACAGTGAAACACAAGATTCTGGTACTTTCAGGAAAAGGAGGGGTGGGAAAGAGCACATTTAGTGCTCACTTGGCTCATGGGCTTGCTGAGGATGAAGGCAAACAGGTAAGTCTTGTTTTTAGTCTTTTCACCTTGCTTAAAACTTAAACTGTTTGGCAAAATTATGTATATCCAATATCCAAAAAGTGTGTTTTCTCTAATGCTGTTTTAAAACATCATTTTGCTTAATTAGCAACCCCCCCAATATGACACCGCCTTCCTCCTCCAATCAAATGTGAAAATAGAAGCACATATCTCAGTGCGACATTTCCTACTGCTGTGGCCTGTTCATGGTCAGACAGCATTTGTAGCTTCTTGTGAGCCTGTGATCTGAGTATTATAGTTGTGTGAATTGCAAAGTATTTAACTTTGTTGGAGATCAGCAGTAACTCAAAGGTAGCAAGACAGGTACATCGAGCTATCTATCCTATATCTTGTCAAATTGTGGAATTTTTTTTTTTTTTAGCATATCCATATTCAGACCAGCATAGCTGTTTAAAAGTGGCTTTTAACAAAAAACGCTCTGCATCTTTCTGTAACGTAACAGAGCTCTCTGCTCACCAGAAGACTATAGACCTCCAAATATCTCCAAAATGGGGACGAGATTTGGAGATTAAATTTACTATTGAACAGACCGAAAACATTCTTCTCTCTGCTATATGGTTTCCATCTCAAACACAATTCAGGAGTTTAATTGGTACTACAGGGTCCAGAAGACCACATACATATATACATACATACATACATACATACATACATACCGGACCCCTTTGCTGTCAATGCAACCAACATGAGGGAACTATGCTGCATGTCCTTTGGGAATGCCCGGTATGACAGATTATCTGGGATCAAGTGAATGATCTAACATTAAAACTGACTAGCATAAACTTGGGTAACAATCTTGCAGCCTTCCTTCTTATCCTGACTTCTATTCCCAAAAAAGACTAAAACTCTTCATTAAACCATTGCTGAAAGGGTAGTCCCTTATTTTGGAAACATACTCCCCCTCCCCTCTTAAGCTTGCAGTGCACCAAATTAAATGAAACAAAACAGCAGAACACTCTAGTGTTAAAAAACAAGACCCAACATTGTCCCAAAGCTACTGTTCCCTACGCTTTAACATATCCCTCTAAGCAGTTATTGAAAAGATTTGCAACTAGATCCCTAGAGACTAGCATGAACAGTTCATGCTAGTCTCTGCTAGGTTGGACGTAACCATCTCTCACATCTATAACCATACCCCTTAGCATGATTTGACTGGACTCTCCACCAAATTAAAGATCTCCTCACTATGAAAGGCAGTTGGATTTGAGAATCCATGGTCCTTACCGTCCCAACCCAAATTACTCTGATAAGAGAGACTTTTTTTTTTTTTTTTTAAATGCTTTCCTTGGGACAATGTGTGTGTGTGTGTGTGTGTGTGTGTGTGTGTGTGTAATACTCCTTTAGTATACCGCCTGCATTACCCACCCAACTGCTTTAGTATGCTGTCTACATTTCCCTTCTGCATTAGATGGAGAAAGTGGATTGCCATCTGTGAATACACCAGTTAATTAAGGGCACTATACTATATATAACAAGACATTAAAATTGGGCTCCTCCTTAGATTTTTGGAGCATGCATCAAAGAAGAATTTTTTTGAAAACCTTAAGCCAAGCTCTGAAGGCAATAGACAACCTTAACCCACCAGATTGTCTGCTCTTCAGTGAAAACAGTCCTTGTAAATATTTTTTTTCTCTTGGATCTGCCCACTGGTGTGACCTCAAACTCCCTCCACTCGGCCCTTGGATCATTCTTTTTCCATAGTGCATTAACTACTATCGGCACATGTACAAACTGAAATAGATTTGATTTGGTAAATGCATATGTGTCTCTTTGTGGAGGCAGTCATCTACTTAGAAGAACAGGGCTTTGCTACCTCATGTCAGAGCTGGCACCCTGATGACTGGTGGTCTGATCACTGATGATGGAATATTCAGGAAGCAGCCATAGAGGTGGGCAAACACAGATCCTCAAAATTAATGAAACGGAAGCGGGGAGGTACATGCACATCCTCTGTTACAACATTCTCTTCAGTAAGCAGCACAGCAATTATTTTTTTTTCATTCTATACACAGCTCTACAATAAAATGTTAAACATAAATAATAAATATATTCAAACACCCCACAATGTGCACAAGTGTATCCCTCCTGTAGTGATATCAATTTCAATTAGTCCCATAAAATCACAATGCATGGAGTTCCAGACCGAGGGCGATTGATGGTTATTTTGTATTACTTCCATTGCCGAATAATCGCTCCAACAGTTGTTTCTTTCTCGCCAAGCTTCTTGCCTATAGTCTTATAGCCCATTCCAGCCTTGTGCAGGTCTACAATGTCATCTGTAATAAAAAAGGGTATAAAATTCATTTCAGTACAGCGCTGCATGACGGAATAAATGTCAGTTAAAGTACCGCAGCGCTGAATACTGAAAAATGGCCTGGATGGGAAGGGGGTTTAACACCGCGGATGTCAACTGGTTAACAGCTCTTTGGTCTTGCCATGTTTTGAATGGAAGAAAGAGATTCTGTGGACAGGTGTCTTTTATATACATAACGAGTTGTTGTTAGGAGCATCTTCTTAAAATTGACAGGACTAATCTGTGTACCACATAGCCAGTGTGTGGGAGCCAGAATTATATGGTTGGTAGGGGATCAAATACCTATTTTACTCACTGAACTGCAACTCAATTTATAACATTTGTATCATGTGTTTGTTTTGGATTTTTGGTTGATGTTCTGTCTCTTATCATTTTAAAATACACCTATGATGCAAGTTATAAACACACACACACACACACACACACACTCACTATATAGTGGCGTCCCCAAAAAGTTGTATGACCAGTCTCTCAGTTCCAGATGAAATGTGACCCTGTATTTACCATACTAAGATCAGATAGCGCTTCAGTGCAATGTTGGTGGTCACTCTGCAAAGGGAAAGGGCCTCAGACCATTGATGTAAAGCAGTACCCAGAAACTTCCAAGTATTCCAATCCCAAATGATTAAACCACTTTTCCGACTCAGCTTCCTCCTCCGTATACCAACATATAAACGCAGAAAAAACTAATCGGGGTAAAAACGATTATTACATTTCAATAAATAAGATCAAATGCACTTGCATAAAACCAGGTGAACAAAGGCATATCAAACACCCAGCCCTTCCAAGCAAATGGTCTTACGGTGCTTCAGAGCAACAACTGACTTCACTGTGTTTCGTCTCAATCAACTACCTCAGGAGTGATCTCCGTTCACTTCTGAGGAAGTCGATTGGAAGGAAACATGTTGACTGATCATTTCTTAGGGTGGATTTGCTGATTGTGACACTTGTAGTTTTTGTGGGGAGCCCCATGGAAAGTTTGTCAACTTGGCACAATTGGGAGCAGGGGACTGATGGCTTTCACCCTAGAACAGGAAGTCCTTGTACCCTTTTTTTGTAAATTTCCCTAGGTTCTGAGCAGTGGCGTAACAACCAGGGAGGCAGGGGGGCACTTCCCCCGGGCGCAGGACTGAGGGGGGGCGCCGTCACGACCCCCGCTAAAACGACGAAGCCCCTGGCTCCCTCTCTCTGCCACATTCACCCGGCTGTCATCGGGCGGCCGCTCGCTCCTCCGAGGCCACTGCGAGCGGCCCTCTACAGTGCCTGATTGGAGGGCGCGTCTGCCTGATCCAGCCAGCCCGGATCGCATAGCGGC